TGACAGATGGTAGGTGCTGACAGGTGCTATGCAGGAAAGCAAAACCAGGATGTATTGGTCCATGTTTTTTGGTGCAGAAAACCAAATCTGTTGTTGCCAGTTTGAACAGAAAGGAATTTATGATAAATTACTTCAGGAATTTCCAGGAGGACTGGGGAGGAACTCAGATGCTACAGCTAAGGGAAGAGTCTGATTGTTCCAGTGGGAATCCATTGATGGCACTGCCCACTGCATAGCGCAGGAACCTCTGCATAGCTGCTCCCCACAGGATATGCTCTCTCTCGAGCTGCTACACCCTCAGGTGCTCATTTCCCATGCCTCCCACGGATACCTCCACTCGACAGAATTCCAGCTGAAAGAGCATCTGGGAGATGTAGTTCTGACTTTTCCAGGCTCCGTGTCACTGGAAAGTTTGCTAGACAGGGTCGGGCGAGCCAGTCTACACACAGGGTAAGGCAGGTGGAGAGTGAAGGGGAGTTGATGCTTTACATAAAGTGGCCATGAGAGGTGTATCAGTTAGATATCTCATTTAGCTGCCCACCAGTAATCCCATCAGTAGCTTGCCAACCACTTTGAAGATTGAGCCCACAACTTTAAGAACATTTGGCCTCTGCTTTCTTTTCCAGCCTCGCAACCTGAACAGTGGGGCTTCCGTGTTGTGAAATTGCTACTTCTTCCCATACACAACACGCTGTTTCACAATGCCATGCCTTCTTTGTTCATGCTGGTCTCTCCTTCCAGACTGCCTTTGCCACCATTGTTTGCTTGGCTGACTGTTTTAGCAGAGGAATACTCTCTAGGAAGCCTTCGTGATACCCCCAGATTGCAACATGAGCCTCTTCTCTATGTTCCCGTGGCAGACTTGTGCCATGCATTTAATAATTTCCTGGATTATATTAAAACAATCCATTTGTGTCGGTCTCCCTCATTCTGTGAGTTTTGAAAGGTCAGGGACTACCTCATTCATCTTTGCAACCCTAGTGCCTAGTGCCTAGTGGGCAACTAATAAATACTTTGACATGAGTTGAATTTTGAACAAGCAGGAATTTGCTGGGTCAAGAAAGTGGAAGAAAGATGGGCATTGCAGGCACAGGAAACAGCATATTCAATGTTACCGAGACATGAAAGAGCAAAACAGGTCTGGAAAAACGTAAGCACGTCATGAAGCTAGAAGGAGAAAGCAGGTAGGGGAGGCATGACGCCAGAGCACTGACAGGGTTGGGATTAGGGTAGGTCTTGTGTGCTGAGCAAAACAGCTTATTTGAAAGCTTTGGGGAAGCCAAATTGAAGGATTTTAAACAAGTAAGGGACTTACACGATCAGATTTGTGTTTTTAAAGACGTTTGTCTAACAACTGGGTAAACGGTGGATTAGAGGGGCTCAGAGTAGAAGCAGAGAAACCATGAAGAAGTCATTCCGAACCACAAGTGAGGAGGACTCAAAGCCAGTGGCAATGGCATGAAAAAGAGATCGGTGGCTCAAAATTTCAGATCGGTAGAATTTGGGCACCAGAAAAATGGAACATGAGTTTTACCAGAAGGACCCCTTGACCACCTCCCAACCCACCTTCATGCCACTTGCCTCATGCCCTCAATTCTGAACTCCCACCCATGGGTGATGAATAATAAACAACAAAATGCATCACATCTATCTCCCATCTATAGCAAGGAACGTAAAATCTCAATGTTAGTGCTAGAAGGGGCCTTGGAGATCCCCCAGGCCGACTCCTAATTTGACATACGAATGAACCAGAGAAAACAAATGACTTCTCTGCCTACCTCTGGAAACCAATGGGAAGCACCCAGTCACTGCAGCATCATCTATTTAACTCTCCATATAGCACTTGTCTCTAATATTTTCTTGTGTATTTGCTAATTTTCTGTCTCCCCCTTGCATTAGAAAGTAATATTTAAGAGCAGAGTCCTTGACTGTCTAAAATAGCATTTTGTCTGTTAAGGAGACACTTAATGAACATTTGTTGACAGAGGAATGAGCCAGGTATAATCAGGTTTGTTCCCTCCTGAACTAGTGATCTTTACACAGGACCTTGGTTTGTGGGTTATCAAATCCATAATTTTATTTCTTAGTAGGACTTTGCTTGATCAATCCCACAGAGATTAAAATTATACAGAGACTAAAATGTACCAAGAAATAATATTGTACAGTAGTTCATGTGGCTTCTAATGTGAATAACAAGATATATTCATTATTATATTACTTTGAAAATATTAACCACTGACAAACTCACACCCATTAGGAAGGAAAGCTACTATTAAAAAAATGTTGGTGAGGACACAGAGAAATTGGAGCCCCTGTGCACTGCTGGTGGGAATGTAAAATGGCATAGTTGTTATGGAAAACAGTATGGCAGTTCCTTAAAAAAATTAAAAATAAAGGCTGGGCATAGTGGCTCATGCCTATAATGCCAGCACTTTGAGAGGCTGAGGTGGGAAGACCGCTTGAAGCCAGGAGTTGAAGACCAGCCTGAGCAACATAGCAAGACCCTGTCTCTATAAAAAATGGAAAAATTAGCCAGGTGTGTTGGCATGCATCTGTAGTCCTAAATTTTCAGGAGGCTGAGGCAGGAGGATCACTTGAGCCCAGGAGTTTGAAGTTGCTGTGAGCTACAATAGTGCCACTGCATTCTAGGCTGGGCAACCAAGTGAGGCTGTCTCAAAAAAAAGAAAATTAAAAATAGAAGTACCATATAGGATCCAGCAATTTCACTTCTGGGAATATACCCAAAAAGAATTGAAAGCAGGGTCTCAAAGGATATTTGTACAACTATGTCTATAGAAGCATCATTTATAATAGCTAAAACATGGAAACAACCCAAGTGTCCATCGACGGATGAGTGGATAAACAGAATGTGTTATATATACACGATGAAAATTGTTTAGCCTTAAAAAGGAAGCAAATTCTAACATATGCTACAACATGGCTAAACCTTGAGGTCATTGTACTAAGTAAAATAAGCCAGTCACAAAAAGGTAAATACTGTATGATTCCACTTATACGAGGTACCTAGAGAAGACAAATTCATAGAGACATAAAGTAGAATGCGAGGGTGGAATGTGGAGTTGTTGTTTAATGGGTATAGAGTTTCAGTTTTGCAAGATGAAAAGAGTTCTGGAGATTGGTTCACAGCAACATGAATCTGCTTTACATGCTGAACTGTACACTTAAAAATGGTTAAGATAGTATATTTTATGTTATGTGTGTGTTACCACAATTTAAAAAACATTTGCCACTGAGGAGGTATGCATCTGTTATCTCATTTGATCCTTATAATACTTTTGAACTGTTGTTAGAAATATAAGTCCCATTTTGTAGTGAGGAGAACAAGGCTCAGAGAAGTGACGTGAATTGCCCAAGGCACGTAACTAGAAAATGGCTAAGCTGAGCTTCACACTCAGATCTCCTGACTCCATGCCCAGTGCTGGCTTCTGCATCGGGAGAGAAAGTGAAGTTGAATTCACTTGTCTTCTGGTTGAAGTATAAGAAATAAACCTTTGGCAGTTTGTGGAGAGAGCTGCATAGGTGGGAGGGTGTGTGGGTATGTGAGAGGGGAAGAGAGAGAGAGAGAAAGAGAGGAGAGAGCTTGCAAGCAACTCCCAGACACCTGCTTCATGCTTCTTGTTCGATTTCCCTCCCTCCCTGAGTCTTCAGAGGGCAGGTGTGAGTCAACTGTAAACAGTGAGAAAAGGTCACCCAGCGTTCCCTCAGCTGGCAAAATTAAAAGTCACTGCCATGGAGATGGTCTGTGTACATGAAATTAAAAACCTTTAAGATGACTAGGAGAAGACAGTGGCTCTTACTTTTTGAAATGATTCCAATAGATGTCCTCCTACCTTCTGTGAAGGCAAAAGATGACAAAATGCACTTCTGAAAATAAAGGGAGTCTAGTGGGAGAAAGAGGGAGCAGTGGGAAGAGCATGGAACAGGAGTCAAACTTGGGCCTACCTGGCTGGATCACCAGCCAACTCCCTGCATAATCCCCGGCACACCCTTCCTGTGCCCCAAGGGTTGGGCTGCCGTCACTACCATCATTTTCATGCTGGGTTTGAGCTGAATTTAGAGAGAAGAGCAAAACCTCTCAAAGGGAGTTAAAAATACAAGAGGATCATCTAGCCTTTTATAAAGAGCTTTCATTTATCACAAACAGCCTACTATATGTCAGGCACTGTCATAGGCACTTTACACGTGGTACCCATAATCCTTCTACTGCTTAACAGCTCATTTTTATGATACAACTGCTCTTAGAGGGAAGATCGAGTTTCCCAAAGTATTTGCCTAGGTGTGAAGAGTGGAATCAGAATTTGAACACAGGCCTGTCTAGTTCCAAAGTTTGTTCTCTTCTCCATTCCATGGTGTTAAGTTCAACAGCCAAGGTACAAAGACTTATGGAAGCACCAAAGAGTCTGGGAAGAAGTTAGTTGTGCCGTCATTGCAGGGGAAATCTTGACGGAGGGGTGGGCATTGAAGTGCAAGAAAGCAGTGGACAAGTAGATGGAAATGCTTTTTGTGATGCAAGAACACAAAGCAAAGTCAAGTCAAGGTGGTGGGGAGTACAAGACTTCTAGGAAAATTGTAAACAGTCCTGTTTGGTTTAAGGGTAGTTGTGTTGGGCTGTGGTTGGAGTCAGGACCACATTGTGAAGAAGCTTGAATGCTGTATGATGCAGTTTGGAACTTACTTTTATAGGCAGTGGGGAGCCATCAAAAATTTGTATCAAAGGGTTTATCAAAAGTTGTTAGTATTATCTAAAAGTGTTCTTTCTATGCTATGAAAAAATTAAACATACCTGAAATGTTTCAAAGAGGAAACAATTGTTTTCATTCCATCTCACTTAGACAATAGCATTCCTGGCTAATATTGTCCAGTAGGTAAGTAATTGCATAACATCAGCATATAGAGTCCCTTAATGTGTGCCGTGAAGTCAGTTAATCACACTGGCTTCTCTCCTGGAATAATGAGACATTTTTTTTTTTATTCTTTAGAAAGGGGTAAGAAACTTCAAGGAACTTCGAGCCAAATTTCAAAATCTTGATGCTCCACCTCTTCCAGGACCTATTAAATTCCCAGCAGGTATTTCTCAAAAGGGTGACATTGGAAGCCCACAGTCAACCCAAATTCCAGCCAACGGGAAACCCCTCTCATGCAACCACAAGCAGCCCCCACCGTGTTGTTCCAGAGGCGAGTCCCAGCTTCTTACACCCCAGAAAATGAAGTTGGCCCAAAGGAGTGGAATTCAGAAATGTTCTAATTCCCCAGGGTCTCTGGGAAAGTCTGCTGTGTGTTCTGCAGTAAATTCACAGAAGGCTTCTCTGTTGTTAGATACGAATCAATCAAATGCTGCGATAACCAATAAGGAGAAAGCAATGGTGGCCAGTAGCTTCAGAAAAAAGCTCTGGAACTGGGAGAAGGTTTCATCTCAGAAAAGTGAAATGTCATCGACCCTTCTCCTTGCCAGTTGTGAAAGTGAGGCCCTCCGGGTGGAAAGGCAAAAAGGCATGGGACTTACTCCAGAGGAGTCGAGGAAAAAGACTGAAACAAAGGGAGCCCAGACCCTTCCTTCCCAGAGGCACTTGATGGCCCAAAGAAAATCACTTGCTGCCGCTGAAGATCGCTCTTCTCTACTTTCTCAACATGGCGGGAAGAGGCAGAAAAAACCCAGTCCTGAGAGGAGCCTGGCAGGCAGCGTGTGTCAGCCTATCTATGAGTGTGAGCTTGCCCCCCAGGCCCCAGGTAAGAAATGTAACCTCCACATGACTGGGGAGAAGAGTCATGTTTTTTCTAATTTAGAGCTTGTTCACTTGGAGTGGTCATATACGTGACCTGGGCAATGCTGCCCCAAACTCTAGGGTGAATATTATAGGGGGCCTATCTGCTAAATCATAATCTCAGGTTTAGGTAAAGTGCTTGATCTCCTGGAATTACATTGTGAGACAGTTTGACCAAACCTGGATTTGAATCCTAGCTCTACTTCTTATAAGCTGCATGAACTTGGGCTATATGAGGTCTGTCCAGAAAGTATCCAGCCCTTGTAATATAACAAGAATAGTTACATGGCTGGATACTTTCTGGACAGACCTCATATATATAACTTCTTAGAGCCTGGTCTGCTCTCCTATAAATCAGATGCAATTTTCAGTGTATCGCTAGTCTTCTGTCTTTTTTTTTTTTTTGAGACAGAGTCTCACTCCGTTGCCCTGGCTAGAGTGAGTGCCGTGGTGTTAGCCTAGCTCACAGCAACCTCAAACTCCTGGGCTCAAGCGATCCCCCTGCCTCAGCCTCCCGAGTAGCTGGGACTACAGGCATGCGCCACCATGCCCGGCTAATTTTTTCTATATATTTTTAGTTGTCCAGATAATTTCTTTCTATTTTTTTTAGTAGAGACGGGTTCTCGCTCTTGCTCAGGCTGGTCTCGAACTCCTGAGCTCAAACGATCCTCCCGCCTCAGCCTCCCAGAGTGCTAGGATTACAGATGTGAGCCATGGCACCCAGCCTCTCCCCCTCATTCTTTGCATTGCATTCCTCAGCAAGCTCTTGGTTCCACCACCAAAGTATGTTTTGAATCCCTCCCCTTATGCCTATCCCTTCCCTCTGCCCTGATCCATACCACCATTACCATCTGCACCCAGACTACTGCATCAGCCCTCCTGATCTCCCTGCTCCCATACTCTTTCCCTCTTATATTCTATTCTCCCCACAGCAGGCAGAGTGATCCTCTAAATCATAAATCAGATTACATTGCTCTCCTGCCCAAAGCCAGCTCCAGCCATCTTACAGTGGCTCATGCAGCTTGGTCTTGCCTGTTTCTCTTACCCTCTCCTCTCTCACCACATTGCTATCCCTTAGATATACCAAGCTGCTTCCACCCCAGGTTTTTGCACTTGTTGATCCCTCTGCCTGGAGCACTCTTCCAACAGGTCTTTGGTGTTCACTCCATCACTTCATCAAAGTCTCTGCTAAAATGTCACCTCCTATGAGTGGACCTTGTTGACTACTTGATCTAAAATAGTTACTCCACTCCCATCTATCTCCTTGCATTGCTTTGGTTTTCTTCATATCCCTTATCCCTACATGGTATATTGCTGTGTATTTGTTTACCTAAGTAAGATGTGAGTTATAAAGGAATAAAGACTGTCTTCCTTACCACCATATCCCTAGCACCTAGAAGAACAAGGCCGGGTTGAGTAAGTCCTCAAAAAATATATATATTGAATGATTGGCTGGCTGGATTGATGGATAGAAGGGTGGATGGGTGGATCTCCAGCTTGCAACCCTATATAGTTTCTTTTTGTACTTAGAATAGAATCTTAACTACTTACTTCAGGGTCCTCATGGCCCTGCATTCTGGTCCCTGCTATGTCTCTGACTTGTCTCCCCCCTCTCTTCCCTTAGCTCACTAGCCCATAGTCAACACACCAGATTTCTTTCTTTCTTTCTTTCTTTCTTTTTTATTTCAGCATGTTATGGGGGTACAGATGATTAGGTTACGTATGATGCCCTTACCCTCCCTCCCCCTCAAGTCCGAGCTTCAAGTGTGTCCATTCCCCTGGAGGTGCGCATCTCACTCAACACACCAGATTTCTTGCTGTTCTTTAAACAGACTTTGTCTTGCCTCAGAACCTTTGCACTTGCTATTTCCTTTTCCTGGAAAACTCTTTTGTTTGACCTTTGTATAGCTGCTTGAGGTCTAAGTTCAAGTGACACTTTTCAAGATCAGCTGCTCTAATCTCTCTATCTGAAGAGTTCTGCCTCACCATCAACAATTTTTCTTATCATCCTGCTTTATTTCCTTCACAGCACTAAGAGATCTCTGTAATTATCTTTTGTATATTTATTTATTTATTGTCAGTCTCTTATTAGAATGGAAATTCTTGAAGGTAAGGCTATATATGTTCTTGTTCTCAACTCTGTCCCAGCTCCTGGAACAATCAATGCCTCAAATTATAAATAAATAAATACTGATGAAGGGATGGGAAGGAAGGAAGAATACATGGGAAGAAGGATGGATGGTAGAAAGGAAAGAAGGATGGATGACCTACCAGATGGAACTGTTGAGAGAGTTAAACCCATGGAAACTGCTTAACACAGTGCCTGGTAAAAGTTGGGAGCCCAATTAGTTAAGTGATAGTTAATTTTCACTATGTCTTCTTCCTAATTTGATAAAGATTGAAGTTTCTGACATTGTGACTTATAATTAAAGCCTAAGAAGGGAGGAACTTTGGCTCTGCCTGAGTTTCTGAGAATATAACCCCCTGGGGGATGTAACCCCTGATGGTAGGGTAGGCAGGAAGCTTCCTTCCCCTCCCAACTTGTAGAGGAGAGTACAAGGAAAGCCCTCAGAGCTATATGTGAAGTGCTAGTCCACTTCTGCAGTTTTAGTATGGATGGCCCATGCAGCCAACTACTGTATTATGTAAACCAAAAATCAAGGCACTTGGATTATGTAAGATTTTGTGCTATTTTCAGTGTAAGAGGCAGGTGTAATTTTCATATTTACATTGCAATTTCTATTGGAGTTGGATTTATAAGTGCAGAATGACAAAATATATAAAATCAGAACTCTCCTAGAAAATTCCAGAACACAGAATTCACAGGTGCCCAGCTACCACAAAGTCAATCTTGAAGCCAGTCCCAGGCTATGAGCCCTGGAAATCAGAGATCAATTCTCACTCCTCTTTCTAGCCCCTATGTTATTTGTGCATCATAAGTGCTTGAGGAATCGTTCCAGTGTATAGTCACAGCCCTTCTCTGAAGTGCTTGGTGCTGGGAGATCAATATGACATCATCTCTGCCCATGGGAGCCCATGTTTAATGGGAAGATAGGCCAACATCTCCAATATGCCATAATACTGATGTAGAGTATTAACAATGTGCTTATAGGGATTCACATCAGGGACCCGTTAATTCTGGACTTCATTTCTGCTAGAAATAAAATAAGCTTTCTAGAGGAGGTGTCATTAGAGCAGAGCCTTAAAAGAATGAATTGAAGTTTGCCAAGAAAGGGAATAGCGTTCCAGAACCAAGAATGGCATAAACAAAATCTTCAATATATGAGCATTTTCTAAGGCTATCTAAATCAGATCTGGAGAACTGAGAAGCCAGTGATGTGAGTGAAAAATGTTTGAGCTTAACGTCAGGAAGTAAGATAATACAGTGTAATAAGAAAGGAATCTGGAAACACAGGTGGGGCCGTGTGGGATAGAAATGGCAGTTGAGTGACCGATGTCATGCTGAGGAAATCCTTGGGGTGGCAGCCTAGGTGACTGGTCAGGTTTTGTGTTGATCAGGGCTCTCCGGCTGCTGGATGGCGAAGAAATTGGAAGGGAGAAAGGCAAGAAAACAAGTAAGGTTCACTCAACAAGCTATGAAATGGAAATAATCAGAATGTACATTTTTTTACTGTCTGTGTGCAGAAAAACAGCCAAATGTCAGGCATCACCACCTTCCCAAAACGAAGCCACTGCCTTCTATCGAGTCGCTGGGTCCTCCTCCTCCAAAGCCTTCAAAACCCCCTGTCGTGAGTCTCCAGGCCTTCCAGAGGCAGCCAGCTGCTGTTCCCCAGACCCAAAGGGAAGGTAAGGAACTGCACAGGGCCCCACACATGGCCAGCACCTGTATCCCCCACGTCATCTCCCAGGTGATGCTGCTGCCGCTGCTTTTCCATGGCGTTGGACATCCATCACTGCTTATTGTCACGTAGAGGCTGTGGCAGCTTGCCTGTGAAATGACAAATCCATGCAGTTGGGCCCTTATCACTCCTGGGCAGCCCACATCCCCTGAGAGCGTTGCACTTGATCACTGGGAACCTGTCCAAGAGGAAGAAAAGGAAAAGTCTCTGAACAGGGAGGCGGTGAACCTTTGTGTTTCCTGCAAAGCCTGTGTTGTCAACATAGTCGGTGCAGAATGGGGGAGGGAGTGAAAAGGGAGACAGGAAGTGTGAAGTAGACTGGAGATCCTTATGGGGGGTCCCCTCAGGCCTCTGAGATCTGCCTTCAGTAATTAATTGAAGACACCCCTGCCCCACCTCTTCTGGTCCTTTCCTGTAACTGAAGCATCCTTAGAAGCCATTTCTCTGTGCTATTTTGTGTGTTCCCTCTGCTGTTGAAAGGAACATATCTCACCCCTCCCCACTCCTGCCACAGTCTGATCTCGTTGACATTTTAAACACCCTAGCTTCTGTTCACTCTAATGAAACATGAGGTGAACACACACTGAAATGTAGTGCTGTGCTAACATTTGTTTTACTGTGGCCATCAGCGCCAGCAGATGGTACACCAAGAGAGCTAACGCAGTCTTTGATTGTTCATTTAACTGCTTTGGTCAATCTCGTGGCTAAATTACTCTAACTCAGGGGTTCTCAAATTTCAGCATGCATCAGAATCACCTAGAGCTGCGGTCCCCAACCCCTGGTCCATGGCCTGTTAGGAACCGGGCAGCGGCTAGCAAGCGAAACTTCATCTTATTTACAGATGCTCCCCATCGCTTGCATCACCACATAAGCTCCACCTCCTGTCACATGGGCAGCGGCATTAGATTCTCATGTGAGCACGAACGCTACTGTAAACCACACGTGCGAGGGATCTAGGTTGTGCACTCCTTGTGAGAATCTAATGCCTGGTGATCTGAGGTGGAGTGAGGCAGTGATGCTAGCGCTGGGGAGCGGCTGCAAATACAGATTATCATTAGCAGAGAGGTCTGACGGCACAATGAATGTAATACACTTGAAGCATCCCAAAACCATCCCCCCACGCCTGCCTGCGGAAAAATTATCTTCCATGAAACTGGTCCCTGGTGCCAAAAAGGTTGGGGACCGCTGACCTAGAGAACTTGTTAAAACACAGGTGGCCAGGCCCCATCCTCAGAGTTTCTGGTTTGGGTGGAGCCTCAAAATTTGCCTTTGAACAAGTTCCTAGGGGATGCTGATGCTGTTGGTCCAGGGACCACACTTTTAGAACCACTGCTACAAGTCATCTTAAGTCTTGTCTTAAAAGAAAAGGAAGATAGGGCTCTTATAATTATACTTTAGTAACATGGCTACCTCTTTATCAAAGAAGGCTAAGTGTGATTTTTATAAACATTAATTCAGGTTTCAAATCATCTCTCTGAAAGGGAAGAAGATTTGTCAGACAGCATAGAGCCAAGTATCAAGTCTTTTGTAATCAAATGGGCTTTGTAGATCCCAGCTCTCTTACTCACTAGCTATTTAAGTTTGGACATGTTACTCAGCTTCATTTTGCTTGTCTATAAAATGAAGCTAATGATAACAGTGATCTCATAGAATTATTGCGAGGATAATGAGATAATACCTGGAAAGAGAGTAAGCAGTGCTTGGCATACCAGTAAGCGCTCAATAAATGTTTAACATTATTTCAAAGAAACATTGAGCAGCTATACCCTGTGTCGTGTCCTGTGACGGAAACAAGAGATGAAGAGATAAACCCCACAGAGGTTCTATTCCTCAAGGAGGTCAAAGTCTAATGCAAGAGATTGTACCCACAAAATAGCACCATAAGTGTGGGCGAGTGCTGCAGTGCAGGGCACAGGTGAGCTGCCACCCCACACTTTATCCTTGGGGTCAGGTTACAGCACGAGCATCGTTCATGTTAACCAGGCTGCTGCCAGTGCCTCTTTTTCACTCTGCCTTTTGCTCTTGCAGTGGCTGTGGAAGAGGGCCACCTGCCTCCAGAGAGGTAAGTGCATGTTCCTTCCTTGAGCAGGAGTGTAGCCCATCAGCGAGGCTCCTTAGTTTGCCCAAGAGCCACAATTAGCACGAGCCAAGTGTCTGTATTTCTCCGAAAGGTTGCAGGAAGAGCAGACTTATAAGCAATAAACTGCAACTTTTGTTTTAAATGAAAGATTAAATAAACTGCATTTAACTACCGTGCTGACATTAAGCTGCAAGGATGATCCTCTGAGGTACTTTTTTTTTTATTACACAGTTGGATTCAGTAAATTGAAACATCAGCTCTATAGTCATAAATTGAATTAGAAGCTAAAGAATGCTCTGGGCAGCCGGTGTGATGTTAGGAATTGGTAATGGGATAAAGGACATTCTATTTCGGTGCACTCATTCTCAGAATTTTGCCACGGAAGTGTCAGTTCATTAACTCACTCAACCAAATAATATCTATAGAGCCCTTTGATGTATTAGGCACTGAGCTGGCTACTTTATATGGATTTCCTCATGTGGCTGCCTGAAGAGGGTTGCACGGTTGCTGCTGCTGTCTGCATATTACAGCTCAAGGCACTTGGGTACCAAAAATTTGCCACATGCTAAGCTGTGATTCCAGCCCAGATATGCCCAGACTATTTTGACTTCATGCCTCACCTCCCTCACAAAGATGTTCCCATTCTCAAGAAGGTTAGTCTTCGAAGGAGAACCAAACTTAAAAACAAATAAGCATATTGCTTACTCATTCACCAAGTGTTTATGATAGTAAAGTGTATTAATGTTAAGTTTTGTAATAGAGGAGGGTACAAGATTCAGAGTTTGCTCCAGTGAAGGAGTAGTCACATTTCCTTGGGAGGGTCAGGGAAGTCTTTAAAGATGTATTGGTTATCTATCACTACTGTAATACTACATAATAAGCCATAACAAAACTTCAGCAGATACAAGATGGGTCTATGGGATACAGCTGATGTGGGCTGGGGCCAGCTGGGCTTGCATATACGTTTGCAGTCAACCGTGGATGATCAAGGCAACTTTGCTGATAGTTAGGTTGGCCATCTATCAGCAAAGGTGGGTTGGGTGGCTCCTGTGTCTGAGGCAGCTTGCAGTTGGCTAATCTAGGATTGCCTTGGCTGGGATGACTGGGGCACCTTGGCTTGGCACCATCTGTATCTCCTTCTCTAGCAAACTAGGCCAGGAACATTCTTCTAGCAGTTGCCACTAACAAGTGAGACAAACCCAATAGCACAAGCACTTTTCAAGTCTTAGCTATGTCACATTTACTGACATCATGAAAGCAAACCACATGGCCAAGCCCAGAGTCAGAGTGGGAAGGCACGAAAGTTTACATGGCAAAGGGCAGGGATCCAGGAAGGGTGAAGAATGGTGGCGTTAATCCAATCAACCTGTCACTGAAGAGGAAACATTTGAAATGAGTATCGCTGCATTGCCTATCAAACACGATAGAGGCAGAAGGTGTGAAGTGCCTAATTTGTGGAAGTTACAAATAGTTAAGTGGAGTTAGAGTACAGAAAGTACAGGAATGGGATTGTAGCGCTAGACAGGAACCCCATTGTGGAGGATCTTGTACACCAAGAAATTGATAAAATGATCTTGTTCAACAAGGAGCTGACTGTGTGGTACTAGACACATTCATATATCCAGGAATTCCTAGTTTAGTTGTCCATTTGAAAGTTCAGTGAGAGCACAAGGTAGGTCAGTGGAGCCATGTTTTATGTGCATTTATGTGAGGGAGAGAAAATAATGTAGATGGCTCAGACAATGGTTTGCACTCTTTAGTCAATGGTCATAGGCCCTAGTGTGACAGTCTGAAGGGACAAATTACCTCTGCTGTGCTCTCAGTCTTGGTTCTTTCATTCCTCTTGTACGATAGGCATCTCAGTATGAGTATGAGTAAAAGGTGATTGTTGTGTTTAACTAGATACGTATTTTTCCTATGGCTTGGCTCCAAACTAAACTGACTTCTTCTCTGGCACTTTAATCAAAGAAATAGTGATCCATTTCAACATGGGAAACGAACCTGCTGTGATGGGCCTATTGGGAGAAAATAGTCTCCAATGTGGCACCCTCTTCCTAGGTGATTTACAGGGGCAGTTTTGGTTATTCTGTCCCTTCACACCGACCTTAGAACCCAACCACCGTCTACAATGAGGCTTCATTGTATACCAATGATGATATGGGCCATAGTGCTGTACAAGTGAAGACAAAAGGCGAAGAGGGGCAGAATACTTAGGGGCAGCTTCATGAAAGATGAAAGAGCGGTATCCTGCATGATGGGTAGGACTTGGATAGGTTTACTTATGTGGTCCCTTTTGTGAGACTGTAAGGTGGTGAGGGTAGGGTATTAGTCCCTGAAATAACCACATTCCTGACATGTAGTTTGTGGATGAATGGATGGATTGATGGGGGGATGGGTGGATGGATAGACAGATGAACCAGTGGGCTTTCAGTACAGACAGAGAACATGATTGAAAGCAAGGAGGTGGTACTAAAGATGAGGAAATAAACAGACAAAAATGGTCTAATATTGAAAAATAAGAGATGAGGTTGAATCCTAAAGTGCATTAAGTGCCATGTTAGAGTTTGTACTTTTTTTGCCCATAATAAGTTAGTTTGAACAAGTAAATGTCTTGATGCCTGATAGCTTTAGATATAACTTCCATGAAGTTTGGAAAGGACATCTTCAATTCAGATATTAGAGTAGAAATAGAATATGTAGGATCTCATTACTGCAAGGGGATGTGTTGATTTTCTGATGTTGCCAGGCCATGTAACATAAAGTTAATGAGAGCCTGGGTTTTTAATCCAAGCCCTACCACTTAACACCTATGTAACCTTGGAGAAATACCTTAACCTCTGCAAACCTGTTTCTACTTTTGTAAAATGGTGATATTGACAGTACCTCATACCATTATTGTGAGGTTTTAAATAAAATACTGATTGTAAAGTGTTTAGGGCAGCACCTGGCATCTAGAGAGTGCTCAATAAAGTTTCCTTAGCCATTATATAACCTCCCACCAAGAGCAAGAATCCAAGCTCAGGACTTTAGTCTCTTCAAAGCTCCATTAATGAGGAGCTCGGTACCTGGCGAATCTAGTATTTTTCTTTGTTGGAGCAGATCCTGTTCATTTGACACATATTTATTTGATATCCACTATATCCCAAGCACTCTTACATACATTGAGAACACAACAGTGTAAAAAGTTAACAGAAATCTTAATATGCATGTACACACACATACACACACACATTTGTTTACGTATTTATTTCAAAGTCCTTCAAGTTGATCTAGAAAAAAAATTGACCACGCTACCCAAACTGCCAACCATCAGTCCATCTACTCTTTGCTACACCTTTACCCCTTCTTATGTGACAATTCTTGAAATATCTAAGGACTACATTCTTCTCTAAATTAAAACCTTCATTGTTTTCAACCATGATTTGTAAATCAGGCATCTTTGTGTTCTGGTTGTGTTTCTATGGATCCATATTTTAATTACCTTGTTAAGAGCTCAGGGCATTTATAATGGCCATCTTTTAACATGGGGCCTCTTCACAGTGTGTATAGAATGAGAGGCAGCATTATGTAATGGAACAGCAGATGCGGAGTAAGATTAGCACAGGCTCGAACCCCTCTTCCATACCTTAGACAAGTCACTTAACAGCTCAGACCTTTCATATACACATCTGTAAAGTGGGCCAATGATAGTGTTTACTTTGTTGTGTTGTCATCAAGGCTGAGTGAGATAAATTGTATAAAGCATGCAGTAGACAAAAAGACACTCAATGAGTTTCAGTTTCTTCAATCCTTGGCCTCTCCATCTCTTGTTATCTTGGAAATATTAACATCTCGTTAGTTCCCAACAGCAAGATGGCTCTTTAGAGATTACTCTTTGTCATCATTCTTTTATGCAAGCCAAGCTGGCTGGCATCATCTTGGATAAGCAGCCCCTATTTGTGTGAGCAAAGCAGGTTAGTCCCGGGGAAGCAATCAGCTCTGGGTTTCTGTCAGTACTTAGCAGAGTCGGCTAATACTTTATTATTAGCTATAAATACGGCTTCTCTCCCATTAGGAAGTGTCAGAGGGTACTTCCAACTCAGGGAATCTTTGACTCAGACACATAAGGAAGGGAGAGGCTGTTGACTTCAGGAGTGGAGAAGGTTCAGACAGCACAGTGTCTCTCAGATGACAGTCGGTGGGTGAATTCTCAGGAGTTTACAATTTCTCTCTTGAACTTTAAAATTTTGTGTTTTCATTGTGATGATAGTCTTTAAAAGCTAAGATAAGCTTATTTTGAATCTTCTGGATGGCCTCTTTCATACCTAGTACTTTGAAATATGCTTTTATATTTATGTTTTTGATATTTCTACCCCATGCGGAGTGGGAAACACAAATGCCTTGTAGGGCTGGGCAGATCACGCGACTGTCTCTAGGACCTGTGTCAGACAGTGGAAAGTGGTTGATCCTGTGGAATGGGGAATAGATGCCTTACTAAGGCTTGCAAATAAAATAATGATAATAACAATAATAACAAGACTATGGACAAACAAAATGCATCTGCAGTCCTTTTTGACTAATAATAAGTTCTATAAAGAAAACTTTTCAGTATTAGGATAATAACTGGGGATAGGGAATGAAATAAAGTTTAGGATGATCGAGAAAGATCTCTCTGATTAATGGGTTCAAATAAACATAAGGAATAAGATGTATTCAATAGATCAGTAGAGTGACTATAGTTAACAATAATATACTGTACATTTCAAAACAGCTAGGAAAGAATAATTCAAATGTTCCTAGCATAAAGAAAATTGTGATGGATATCCTAAGTGCCCTGATTTGACCTTTACATGTTATGTGAATGTGTCAAAATATCACATGTACCTTGAAAATACGTACATCTATTATGTATCGATTAATCAATAAATAAAAGAAAGGCCTCTGTGAGGTGGTGACATTGGGTTGAGTCTAGTTGTAGAAGGTCTAGGAGATGAACATTCCAG